CTTAGCTCACAGGAGTGGCGCCCAATCCACTTAAATCATCTTTCTTCCTCATTCTGATGCTCGGTTTAAACTGCAGCAGATTGTCTTGACCATGTCTACTTGCCTAAAAGCATTGAGTTGCTGCCATGTGATTGGCTGATTAGAAATTTGCGTTTACAAGCAGTTGTTCCTAATACAGTTTCTGCTGAGTATACATATAAAATGTAAAATGCTGGGTTGTTATAATTAAATTTTGGATCAAATATAGACAAACCCAATGTGAGAATATGTATTTTATGTATTGACTTATTTCTTCAAATATTTTGCTTAGAATTATTACTTGTCTTTTGAATGTTTTGTTGTTTATTTGTTTAAAAAAATGACAATAGCATTAAAATAAACCTATATCCACTGATTCAAATCCTAAATTAAGAATCAAACAAGAATCTGATACTCTGTCTTACATTTGATTGGTAATTGTAGCTTATGGCTGAAAAAGCTGCATGAGAATGGCAGAGTTATTGTCACGTTACTAAAAATATCATCTAGCTTGTACCATTGGTATTTTACTCTCTCCTCCACACCTGTGAGGATATGAGAAGTGACTGATCATCTGCAGTCAGAAGGCAGGTCATGTGCAAGTGTTTGTGTGCAGTCGTATCTCTAGGCAGAGCTCTGACTCCTGGAGAAGCGTTTGAGGGGTCTCTTTATTTCTGGGCTTCTGATTGGCCACATAAACAGTGAGCCACGTGCACATGCTAGTCTCCCCCCTCCCAGATCTCATTTGAGAAGTTGAGCGCTGCAGAGGAGACATCAGGCAGTCATCCTCACCGCATATCCTGCCTACTAAGTCACAGCTGCTACTACTACTGATGAGAGGCTTTCAAAACGATTTGAAATCTTTCACGATCTTTTAGCATTAGCTATACGCATCTGCTTTAGTATCGTTTGAGGTAATTGAGGGTACCGAGGTGGTAAAATGGGCAGACAAGGGCAGGATGGCAATGCCGCTCTCCCTGGCATGCGAATGCAGCGCTCCCAGAGCCGACTTAGCCTGTCTGCTTCCTTTGAGGCACTGGCTGTCTACTTCCCGTGTATGAACTCCTTTGATGAGACAGATGGAGGTAAGAATCAAACCACATGATGTGAAGCGTGAGAGATGCTGCTTTGTCCACTTTTTCTCTTTCTGTCTTTCTTACTTTCTTTCTTTCTTTCTTTGTTGAAAGTTTTATTTGTTATCAGTAAATAGTTGTGAATAGTAAATGACTGTGTGTTAGTTATCACACGTGACTTGTGTTTATTTATTGATTATCTGAGAGATATAGACAGACAGACAGACAGACAGACAGTATCTAGTAGGCTGAAAGTGGGAGACTGACACCCTCTGCTGGTCATAATGTCTTTATTGTATCTAAAAAAGCAGTTCAAATATTTTCTTGTTGTGATTAATTGCTAAAGCTTTTATCACAGTATATGGTATTATCAAATGTTTTATATAGTATTATTTGTTATGGTATTAACAAATGTTTCTAACAAATACAATTGCAAAAAGTTGGTTAAGTACAATAAAGTCTAATTAGTAAATGTTATTGAGTGGATTTTTATTTACTTTTTATTTATTTTATTTTATTTTATTAGTTACTATGTTAACCCTTTGATGCACTACATGGATCTAAAGTCTAAGGTTATTTTTTCTATATCTATTTCATAGCTTGTGCTTTAAAGGGTTAATATTAGTTAAAAATTGCATCTGAATCTTATTAGTCATAAACTTTTGTTTAGTAAAACGATTCCGCCTTTACTGAGTTGAATGCATTATTAGACATTAAACAGGAAATTAGCATTAATTTAGCTTTTATAGTTTACATTGCAATGATTTTAGTTAAATTAAATGATGTTCAATGCAGCCTTATTGTACAGAGTTAATGAAGAATTTTCAATGTCCTAGGCCAGATTAACAAGTAAAAATGTTGATAAGTCTATAAGCATTTGATGTTTGGTGAACAATCACTGCAAATACAATAATATGAATATTCTTAAATGGCACTCTAAAAGTTTCAACTATAAATAACTATTGACACTATTTTAAAATGCTCGTGAAATCAATATTGTGCATGCTCATTATAGCGATATATTGAATTACTAAACATATGTCTATACAGTCAAGCATTTATTTGTCCTTACAGGATGAAAAGTGTTGTTTTCGAACGTTAAATCACTTTCACTAAACCAAATTTGATGAGCAAAAAGTGGACACAAGTAATCTTCTGACTTTCAGCACTTTCTCTGTGGGACTTTTAAAACACTGGTTTGTTTGAATGGCCTGACTATTCTTTAAGTGTCAACTTATTTGCCTTTAGTTTGTGGTTTGACTGGCTGTTTACCCAGCATGGAGCAGATGGGTGTGGGTAGAATTGTTAATTCTACAGGCATACATGAGTGTTTGACAACCAAAACAACAGTGACAGACTACAGGACTGTGTCCGTGCAAAGAATGCATACTGTATGTGCACATAGTGTTTTTTTTTTCACAGAGTGACATCGCCAGCTACTGGCCTAGCATGCAAAATACACCACTTTTTTTAGGATCCCTTTGAACAGGTGTTTGTTTTGACAGCACTGTCATCTGCATTCAAAGCTTAATCAGTTGTGCTCAACCACATTCCTTTAGTTTGTGATTTAACTAGCTGTTTTCCCAGCATCGGGGCAAGTAGGTGTGAGTAGAATTGTTGAGCCTACAGGGATAGCTAATCGAACACATCTGATTCAGCTCATCATTAGTAGACAAGACCTGAAAGCAGAATGTCAAGACCTGAAATGGGAATATCTGAAAATAGCGTGCAAAATGTCCAGTGTTTCAGTAGGGGCTCTAGGAATGTGGTTGAGAACCACTAGCATAGGTCAACAGAAACATAGGGTGGATTTCAATCTGAAGGGTTCATCCCTATACTGTAATCTCTTTGAAGGGACCCTCTAAAGACATTAAAGCATAGTGATGAGCTCTTTTAAAATAAGTGCAGTGTGTGACACCAAACAGCTTCCCTGAGCAAAAGATAATTTCCCGAAGTGTCCATAAGTTGTATTTTTCAAACTCCTTCATTCCAAGGCTTCATTCCCTTCTCTTTGGTAATTTTTCATCACTTCGATTTGGAATGACACTTTAATATGGTGACGATGATTTGTTTACTCCTAAGTGGTCTTCAGAGGGCAATATATGTTGTTGGAATGTACTGATTAAGAAGCGTTTAAACCTAGGGTCAGCAACCTCTGTTTTTGAGAGCCAGTGTCTTGCAGAATTTAGCTCCAACTCTAATCAAACACCTCTGAACAAGCTATCAAAGTCTTACAAGCACAGTCAAAAACCTTTAGTATAGAAACCATAGTGACAAATGCTGCCTCTATGGCAATGCAAAGAGGAGTCTAAAAGCTGCTATTTGATTTGCTAAGATGTGCTTCACAGGGTACAGGATTGCAGGTTTAAAATAAAACAGACTTTTCATCTCCCACATAGTCAAATAATAATCTGTTATAAGTATATTTGAAGCTTTCAGGCAGGTGTGTTGCGGCATGTTGGAGCTAAACTCTGCAGGACACTGGCCCTCCAGGAACAGGTTTGGTGACCATTGCTCTAAACCCTTGCTGAGGGCCACTGTCCTCCAGAGTTTAGCTCCAACAGAGTTTCTAGCAAGTGTGAATACATTTATTGGTTAATTCAGATGTTTTTAATTTGGACTGGAGCTAAACTTTTTCCATTAGCAGGTTTGGACAATTCTACAGCAGTGTTATTTTTTTATACCAGGACAGTCATATCCTGCTCCTGAAGGATCAATGTCCAGCTTGATTTAGTTCCAACTATCATTAAAAATGACCTCAAGGTTCTGTGTCTGGTAACTTTGATCAGCTGGTTCAATGATGTTTAAAGAGATAGTTCACCCAACAATGAAAAGTTTCTCACCATTTACTCCTACTCAACTGATTCTAAACTTGTATGAATGTGTTTCTTCTAAACACAAAACCTGATATCCTTAAGAAGTCTGCTAAATGACTAATGTAAATGTAGGAATGCTGGAACCAACAGCTAACATCAATATTACGAACATAAACAATACTGTCAATGGCAGCTGCTTTTTAATATTATACTATATTTGTTTGTGTTCAACAGAAGAAAGAAATGCAAGCAGGTTTGAAACAATCAAGTAGGAAGTTAATGATAATAGAAATGTTTATTTTTAAATGAACTTTTTATTTAATTAACTTTTTAGACTGTTAAACTAAAGTTTAACTTCTAAACGTTTTAGAAAAGCAGGGTTGAAGATCCCCATTCTTAAAAGAAATTCATTTTGGGTGAGTGAAGTCTAGCTTAGTGTCAGTGTCACACACACACACCTCTTCAGAGTACTTTCAAATCAGTTGCGAGTCAATGTGATGACTAAGAATAACGAAGGCCAGAAAAAGATCAAACTACTTGCTATTGACTTTATTCTAAAATGCGGAAGTGCACTTGTTTTTGTGATTTGTTTTAAAACTTTAGAAATGACTAGGAATAATAAACATCAGAAAACGATCTAACTACTTGTAAAGCGGAAAATATCAGTTTGCAACATCAAGCGGCATAACAAGCTCTTTTAACATCTAAAAATGAATTGAAGTAAATGAGACCGGAAATCTCGAGACAAAGAGATTCAAATGACTGCTCCCGCTCATACGCAAAGAAAAGGTCAATACAGATAAGTGTGTTTATGACTATAAACAAAATTCAAATAGTATATTTGCAACATCAAGCAGCAAAACAAACTGCTAAAATTAATAGAATTGAATGAGATCGCAAATCTCATAAGCCAATAAGGTTCTAATAGCTGTGCCTGTTTTTACATGAAGAAATAAGGTCAATATGAAAAGACCAAGGCCGTGAAACTACTCAAAACAGACTTCCTGTACTGTGGAGTGGGTAAAGTGTCAAACAAGTGTCAAGTGTATTTTCTTATTTACTTATTTTCTTTTCCCCTTGTTGTCATTTTCAGAGGAGGGAAAGAAGAAGAAGCCGGTGCGTCTGGCGATCCAGCGAAGCGTGGAGACAGGTCTAGCTATCGAGATGAAGAGCAGGATGACACGGCAGCCCAGCAGAGAGACCACAGATGACAGTGAAAAGCCAAAACCTGGAAAGTAAGTTCTCCATCTTTTGATTACACATTTCCTTAAATCACTTCATCACCACGGTTTTTGGCTGGCTGGAATTGTCAGCTGTGAGATCTTTAGTGAAATGTCTGTCAGTGAGCAACTGATTTACTGATGTTCTGATCTTTTCACAGTCTGATTTTCCCTGGGGTGAAGATCTCAAAGGACAGCCAGTTTACAGAGTTTCTGGATGGCCTTGGCCCAGCCCAGCTGGCAGGAAGACAAACATTAGCCACACCTCCAATGGGTTAGTATCATCAGTCACTGTTTTAATTAGCTGCAAATAATTTCTACTTGATATTAATAGTTTTAATCATTCAGTTGTATTCTATGAGGCTTCTTATGAGTAAGCAAGAAAGAAAGCAAATGGTAGGTATAAAAATACTGGCAATATCGCCACCTTGTGGATGAAGTGCAAAAATTCTAAGCACAAAAAGATGCATGGAAAAAAAAACTGGGCTATAAACATTCTCTGCTGATGCTGAAAACACTTAACACAAATCTGAATCAATGTATTACTAATTAAATATTTAAAATGTTTTTCTTTGCAGGGGATATTCAGATTGGTATGGTGCACAGGAAAGAGAGGCTGGATGTTGAAGTTATTCGGGCTCGAGGTCTGGTGGGCAAACCAGGAAACAAACAGACTCCAGGTAGGCTTTATTATTCAGTCTGATTGTGACCATGCCTTTTACTCTTTTTCTTTCTTAAAAAAGTATACATTCTAGGACTAATTAATGTTTATACTACAATTTCTGTGGTCCCTCATTTACAGCACCTTATGTAAAAGTATATCTACTGGATAATGGGAAGTGCGTCAACAAAAAGAAAACACGGACCGCCAGAAAAACACTGGATCCTCTTTATCAACAGCAGCTTCAGTTTGAGGAGAGTCCTGAAGGGAAGGTTTTACAGGTACTAATTAAGATCATAAACCAGGCCTGAATACTATTTTATTCAAATGTTGTTCTTTTAACATTATGAAAAAACATTGAAACATTTCATTTCAATTCAAAGTTAAAACACCAATAAAAGGTTAACATTAAAATTGAAATAAAAATCTCGAAACCATCCCGATCATTCCCCTCTCCTCTCAGATGAAATGGAGGGCCACATCAAAGGTAACCATGGGCCAACTATGTCCCGCAGGCCCTAGTTTGGGCATCTCCTCTGTAGATAATCATTCTGTGACTGGACCATTCCCTTATTCGTCAAGCCCTCTCATATGACCATTGCACAAGAGGTAGACTGCAAGCACGGTTGCCAGAAAAACATGTGCATAAGTGAATGGCCATGGATTATATGTTATGCTGTATAGCCTGACTGAGATCATTTTTCTGACATGTACCAAAAATCCCAGACTGGACAAGAATCATTTTCAGTTTTAAAGTCTTTTTAAAACACAAACGCACAAGTGTAAATGGCACTTTAGTTTCAGTTTTAATATGACGTCTCTTCTGAATCTGATCATTCATATCTTCCTTTACAGATCATTGTTTGGGGAGACTATGGACGCATGGACCACAAATCCTTCATGGGAGCCGCCCAGATCCTATTAGACGATTTAGAGCTGACCAACATGGTGATTGGCTGGTACAAGCTCTTCCCTCCCACCTCATTGGTGGACCCAACCTTGGCACCTTTAAGTAGTAAACCTCCAGAATCAGGTCTGGAGAGTTCCAACGTTCGGTCGTAGCGTTCGGCACGAGGAGGTGAGCGGTAGAGAGCGGCATGAGTCGGAAACCGTCCCGACGGGTCAGGTCCTGGTTACACTGCATGCTTGATGTTGTGTCCTCTGAGCCCGTGCGACATGAGGCTAAGAAAAGGCCTGCGTCCTTCTGCCAAAAAAACAAAACAAAAAAAACGAAAAACGAAAAGAAAACGTATGCTGCTGTCAAACGCAAGGGAAAGAACGCCACAGGAAGTCTCTCCGTTCAGCTGAAGAGATGCAGCCAGGGATTCGGTGGAGTCTGGATTCTTAACCGTAGGAAGTTAAGAGTCCACCAGAAACGGAAGACGCCGTTTTTCTCTGGCTGTTTGCTCTCTGTTGTATTCCAAGAGATGTCAGTGTTTCTTACTAAAAACGTTGTAGCCATTATTGTAAGCCAAGCTGTCAGGAGGAAAAGAGAAGAGAAGAGCGCTTGGCTGAGATGGGACAAGAAAGGAGTGACGTCCTCAGGGGAATGACCCTCCATCAAGCTTGATCTCCATCGGATCGGTCTTTAAAGTTCACGTCATGGCCAGAGTTCCTGTTCGATTCAGGAAACAACAAAAGTCCGGAAAGAAAAAGAAAAAAAAAAAAGACATCAAAGAAATATTGGACCCTTTTGTGCTCTGGTATGATGTTTTCTTTGTTGATGTACTGTATGAAATTGATGAGAATTGTTTTTTTCTTTCTTTTTTTTTCTTTGCATGTATGCAAAGTTGTTTTGAAAAAAAAAAAGTTATTTTCCTCGAGACTTGCAAAAAAAAATACAATTAAAAAGAAAGAGGAAGAAACTTATTTAAGGATGAGCAGATCAGCCATTTTCAACAGTTTGTATTATTTTTAATATGAGATTCTCTAGTGCATGATTTTCAAAGAGACTGAATGCAAAACGATAACAATGTGATTGTCATCCTTCAGATTATTCTTCTGTATTTTTACAGATCTCGGTTACAGGTGTGGCCTGGTTTGAGACATTGCGTCTCATATTATTATCATAAAAAAAAAAAAAAAGAAAAGCAAGAGATGGTTGAGAAAACAATAAATGTAGTTCGATTTAAAATGCAACACATGGAAACTGTACATTTCTCTCTTCAAATGCAGCCATAATTGTGTTGATGAGCTGTAGATTTGGGTCCGTCATGATTCCACTGTGTTCCGTTCCACCAGAATGGCTCATTCATTCAAAGCAAGCATGTTGAAAAGGGTCTGCAACATGGATCGAGCACACCGTCTGTGTAATACAGCATGTTTTGATAGAGACATCTGGAAGTTTTTCGCTGTTTTGTGTACAGTGCATGTGGACCACGCGTCTCCCCCCCACCCCTGATCTACTGTCGTCCACAGATTCAGGGCGGGGTAGAAGGTTTGCGGCCGACAGTTCAGACATTCAACGCAACATTCCACCTCTCGGCACTCATCTTTTCTTGAAGTTTTGAAAAGAAAAAAGGAAAAGAAAATTAAACAGACAAAAGCAAACTAAAGAGAAAATAAAAAGTACGAAAATTTATATTTATTCAAGGTTGACTTGGGGGGGGAAATGGTTGCAAGTATATTTTATTTTATTATTGTTATAAATAAAATGTTATACAAATGGATCCCATTGGATGGTGCTGTACGAAGTCTCTGAGTCACTCAGAGTGGACTGAACAATGTTCTTATTCGTTGTGTTTTTGAACACAAAAGACACTTGTTGTTGGATGAGGAGCGAGTCAGTTCATGGAGATGGGAAAATTGCCACACAATATGAATTTTTAATTGTTTCTTGTTTTGAGAGAATAAAATTCATTTACTAATTCCCGTGTTAGTCTGTTGTCATTCACCAAACTGCTCATTTTGTAAGGGATAACAGTCACAGAAAAGAATCTCAAATTTGGACTCATCAGACCAAAGCACAGATTTACACTGGTCTATTTTTTTCCTTGTGTCTCTTCTGCTTGTTGCCTGTCCTTAGAAGTGGTTTTAGCAGATATTCTACCATGAAGGCCTTATTCACACTGTCTCCTCTTAACAGCTGTTCTAGAGATGTGTCTGCTGCTAGAACACTGTGTGGCATTGACCTGGGCTGCGTTTCCCGATAACGATTGATCTTAGCACTTAAGAGCGTTTTCTACGAGTCATTTTGCGAACGTTCGTTATTGTTTCACGTGCGTTTCCCAAAAATGCACTTAACACAATTGCACGTAGCCCAGCTTTAAGTGCAACTTAGGAGTCGCTATCCGTTTGTTAAGTGCTGAAATGTCACGCTATAGAATGGCTCGTTATTGTTGCACATGTTATAGCAATCCATATAATTCTTCTTCTACTTGTGTGAATGTATATTCAACTCGAATAACATAAAAAAAAATATTTTTGAGCCAGTTTAAAAACATAAATTAACTGGAAATGTCGTACTGTAAAAACACTGTCTTGCTCCAATCTCGCATAAAACTAATTCTAACAGTCCTTGCCGGAAATGACATCAGCATCATTTTCGATATTTATATGAAACCTTAATTAAGTAGAATTATTTATCAATTTCTTTATCAAAAATGGCTTATCTCACATCAAAATAAATAAATAAGTAAATAAATAAATAAATAAATAAGCTCTTACATTTATTTTTGAAAAGTTTAGCCTAATTATCCCCACCTGATGTGCATTTGCTAATAGGACAAAAATATAAATAAGCACATACCTAGGGGTGGAGACACTAGCAAAATGGCTGAAACCAAAAAACAAAGAAAAGTCATTTTTCAAAAAGAGGAAATTAATATTATTTTAGAGAAGGTGGAAGCTACGCTTTCGGGCTATTCACAAGTCCAGTGGTGGTCTTCTCTTTGTGCCACAAAAGTGCTGTGCTGTAATAACAGTAACAGCTATGTTGCACAACATTGCAGTGAGGGCAAGAGTGCCCTTGGACATCAGGGAGGAAGATGAAGAGGTGGAGGAAGAGAATGAAGTTGAGATGAGAATTCATGATGATCAGCCAAGACATGTTCAATACATGGCTGGGTTTGGGGCACGCCAGCAAGTCATTGACACATTTTTTTGAGTTCCTCCTTTATTTGTGTCATCTTTAAATCACATTAAATATTTTCTGTTAAATACAACATATGTAGCCTACTACCCTCGAAATGTCCATATACAACAGTGTAATTTTTTTTTTCATTCTAACATTTATTATGTAATTTTTATTTTTTTCTTTATTCATTATTATTTGTATATTGAATTGTGTAATGTGTAGAAAATATAAATGAATAGAGATATACGTACAAATAAAATGAGTAATGACTTTGAAGAGAAGTAAATTGTAGGTGCAATTTGCCGGTTGTCCAGCAGGTGCCCTCATAACTCTGTCTCCTTACGATGCACTTAAGGCTTTACGATTACTCCAGAGCACTCGTAGATCCACTAAGATTTTCAAGTGCTACTTAAGTTACGATGCTTTTGGGAAACAGACCGTAATATTAAGATCAGTCGTACGATCATTTCTACGAACTTCTTAGGCTTACGATGCTTTTGGGAAACGCAGCCCTGGTCTCTAATCTGAGCTGCTGTTAACCTGTGATTTCTGAGGCTGGTTACTCGGATGAACTTATCCTTAGCAGTAGAGGTGTCTCTTGGTCTTCCTTTCCTGGAGCGGCCCGCGTGTGAGCCAGTTTCTTCGTAGCGCTTTTTGTGACAGCTCTTGGGGACACGTTCTCCCTATTTTTTCGAACTGACTGACCTTCATTTCTTAAAGTAATGATAGCCACTTGTTTTTCTTTACTTAGCTGCTTTTTTCTTGCCGTAATACAAATTCTAACGGCCTATTCAGTAGGACAATCAGCTGTGTATCCACCTGACTTCTGCACAACACAACTGATAGTCCCAACCCCATTTATAAGGCAAGAAATTTCACTTAATTCCACTTATACCTGTGAAGTGAAAACCATTTCAAGTGGCTACCTCTAGAAGCTCATCAAGAGAATGCCAAGAGTGTGCAAAGCAGTAATCAAAGCAAAAGGTGGAGAACCTAGAATATGACAAATTTTCAGTTGTTTCACACTTTTTTGTTATGTATATAAATCCAGATGTGTTAATTCATAGTTTTGATGCCTTCAATGTCAATCTACAATTTTCATAGTCATGAAAAAAAAAAAGAAAACTATTTGAATGAGAAGATGTATCCAAACTTTATATATATATATATATATATATATATATATATATATATATATATATATATATATATATATATATATATATATATATATATATATATATTCATTTTTTTTTTCATTTCATTTTCTTGTAGGCTTAGTCCCTTTATTAATCCGGGGTCACCACAGCGAAACGAACCACCAACTTATCCAGCAAGCGGATGCAGCAGATGCCCTTCCAGCCGCAACCCATCTCTGGGAAATATATATATATATATATATATATATATATATATCCTATACTGTAAAAGAGATTAACCTATTTTTACCCAATAAAATTGAGGGAACAGTTTACAATCAATATTATTAATTAAATTCAACAAATATGCATTAGGTAACAAATAATTAAATTAGTTAATTTAAAATTATTCATTTATAATGAGTAACTGCAAACAGTACTTAAAAAAAGCACATTTTAATGAATTAATTATAATTGCTTAGCAGAGATTTCAACACATTTTTTAAACAACGGATTTAGTAATTAACTTTTAATAACTCATTTATTTTGTCTTAACTATAATGACAGCAGATGATATTTTGTAGGAAACTGTATTGGCATTCAGCTTAAAATGTAATTTTACATCCATTTAACTAGTTTCATTAGATTATTGGCAAGCCATTGAAGTTTATTCTGTAGCAAATTATGAGAGGGCCATATAATGTTGACCTTAGCAGTTTTTTTTTTTAAAGAATAAATAAGAATTCCTCCGGAAGAAAATATAATAGACAATACTGTTAAAATTGTACTTAATCTGTTAAACAGCATTTGAAAAATATTAAAAAATAAATTATAGTAAAATTTCACAGGAGGGTTAATCATTTTGTCTTCAACAGTATATTGTTCATGTAAATATTGTATAAAGTAACTAACTAACTTTCTGTTTATTGTAATAACTACATTAACTACTCAGATAGAGAACTAAAGACAGGGGTGAGAGCATGGTGTTTGCTCTGTTTTTAGACAGTTGGCTCTATTTTTCCAGATGATTTGTCCATGCAGACTCCACAGATATGGTGCATGTAACCACCATGATTCTACAAGGTACTGAAAATATTCCTGTGGATTTTGGTCCACATGAACATGATAGCATCAAGCAGTTGCTTCAGCACAGATTCATGCTTTCATGTTGTTGATGCCCGTGAAATTTCTGACCCTAGAGCCTCATCAGACTAGCCTACCTTTTTCCAATCTTCTATTGTCAAATTTTGGTTGAGCCTGTGCCAATTGTAGCCTCAGTTTCCTGTTCTGAGCATAGGAGTGAAACCCAGTGAGGTCTTCCGCTGCTGTAGCCCATCCGCCTCAAGGTTGGATGTGTTGTAGAGATGTTCTTCTGCATACCTTGGTTGTAGCAAGTGGTTATTTGAGTTACTGTTGCCTTTCTATCTGCTTAAACCAGTCTGGCCATCCCAGTGTTTCTGAAATACTCAGACCAGCCTGTCTGGCACCAACAACCAAGTCACTTAAATCACCTTTCTTCTCCATTCTGATGCTCGGTTTGAACATCATGAGCAGATCATCATTTTGAGCAGATCATCTTGACCAAATCTACATTGAGTTGCTGCTATATGATTGGCTGATTAGAAATTTTTGGTATTATTATACAAGAAATATACTAGTGGGTGCAAGTGCTTATTTATGGATTTGGAAAGTGTATGTGTGTGTGTGTGTGTATGTATATATGTGTGTGTGTGTGTGTGTGTGTATATATATATATATATATATATATATATATATATATATATATATATATATATATATATATATATATATGCATGCATGCATGTCTTGTAAATAAAAATCGTGTGGTGTATATAATTACAATAACTGTACTGCTTTATTATTATAAAATAATCAGGCATGGTATGACTATGTTATATAGAGTAGCAGATATAGATCAGTAGGGTGCTGAGAATGTTGGCTTGGCTAGCCAGCTGCGAGATAGATAATCTTGTTATAAAATAACAGTTCACCCAAAAAATTTAATTCTGGTTTACTCACTTCAAATTGTTCCAGACCTTTTTAAAGTCCTTTTTCTCTGCTGAACATAAAATAAGACATTTTAAGATTGCTGATAACCGAATTTATGTTGCCATTGACCTCCATTTATGTGGGGAAAAATACATGATTAATATAATAATAATAATAATAATAATAATAATAATTATTATTATTATTATTATTATTATTATTCTGTTGATCTGCTTTGTACCAAAATCTCAATCAAGTACTTTTCCCTAATGTTTCCATACGTTTAATTTATAGGGTCTCATGCACACATATTTAATTTTTAATCAATTAAACAATTATTTTATACATTCATGTTTAACGTTTAATATACTTTTTTCCTTTTTAAAACAAATAGTCATGTTATGTCCTGACATAACACTAAGTGGTGCTATAATGCTTGCATATTTTGCAACAACGCCATACCACCACTATCGTTAACGTAAGGATGATGCAACTACAGAGCAGTGTTTTTTAATGAAAGTTAAAGATGATTTTGCAACAACATCCTCATACATAATTACGTTTTTTTTTTTTTTTTTTTTTTTTTTGGATTTAAAGGCACATGTGACACAAGTTCATCACACTGTCTTTCTCCACTGCAGAACCTTTCATCTCCCAAATCTCTTGTAGAAATGTACAGGTAATTGTTGATGCTTTTTGTAGTCAAACTGTGCAGGACATTGCCCTTCAAAGCAAAATTGGAAAACACTACCATAAAGTTTATATGCCTCTCTCTTTCTCCCCCCAAAAAGTGTAGTAAATTCACTGTCACACTGCTGTCCTGAGATAAGAATTTTAATTTTTATGCCACATAAAATAACATTTCCCACATTTCTGGAATTTCATTCCATACAGGTACATGCATAGCAACACATTATTGACAACTTTTTTTTTCCCTTTTTTTCTGACAAGATTATTTTTCTGTAGGAAAGTTTACAGTGAGTTATTCATATCAAGTGTAAACCCTTCTCTGTACGACCTCCGTAAACACTTCACACAGAATTTCTGGGGTCCAAGTAAAAAAGTTACCCTTTCGTAATACTGCTTTAAATAATGATTTATCTTTTAAAAAGTATTGCATTAGAAGCCAGATATTTAAAAAAGAGATAAGGAATCAACAAACACACATACAGGTCACCTTTTTAAGAAGAGTTCTGCATTGACAAGAAAAAAAGGTTTGAAGCATAAAGAAACATCAAGGACAAACTAGACTCTACATGTATCGACAATTATTAATTCAGAAAACATGATTGCCAGTCTTAAGGATACCAGTCAAAGGATAAACAATAATCAGCCAGTGGTAGTCCCACCATCTGTAGACTTTTCTTTTTAATCAGTTTCTACAATGTGGCTTGCTTTCACAATCTTGAAACGTTCACTAGCTTGTCTTTCACTTCAGATCTTTTTTGGAGCTGCAACTATTATTAAATAAATAAATACATAAAAAAACAAGAAACAGCACACAGTATTTTCAACAAATAGTTTCAAAGTTTCTAATAAATGACTGGTAGGATTAATCCTGCTTTGATTGTCCTCCTGCTGCTGAGTACACCAGCATGGAATCGTAAAAACGTCTTATGATGACCACAAGGGGGCAGAAACGTGCTTGTGAAAATTAATGACAGGTTCAAGGCTTGTGAAAGACGAGAGGGCAGATGGTATTGTTTAGAGAAAGTGTCCATTGCAATAAATTATGTCTGATTCGAGCAGTGCAGTTGTCAAGGGTGGACAACGGGCAATGTTTTCTCGGGTCCTGTGACAAGAGGCCCTAAATGTATCTTTACACTGCTGACAGTATGTACGTGGATTGAGTCCAACACTACATTTTCTACAACTGTGGACTAGTTGTCCACTATTTGACATGCTCTGCTGTTTGAGATGAGCAGTAAAACTTCTTGTGCGTTATAAAATTTGAGAGATTGTTGAACTGGATGTCACACGGGCGACAGTACTTTACATTACTTGAGTTGGCAATGGACCCAGTCAACGCTTTCTTCAAGCTAGTCGAGACTTCCTCAGTTTTTATAGATGGCATCTGTGTGGTGACATCCTTACTGTTGATGGGATCATCTAAACGGCTCTCTGGTGTGGGGGATTCATGTTTATTTTCAGCATCTTCCATCTTTTCCTCAATCTCAACATTGTCCTTTAGAGATGAGGACTGGCTCTGGTTCTCAGGGTCATCTGTGCTAAGATGGCTACCGTCAGGCATTGGCTGATCTTTTTCTCCCTCACTGCCCTCGTTTGGACTCTGTCTCCTTTCACTTTGTGAGACCAGCATCCCTGTAGCATAATCGGTGGGTTTGATTTCATAGTAAGGCCAAATTTGCTCATCAGGTCTCATTTTCTTAGCAGGACTTGGGTAGGTTGAAGAGGTTTGAAACATGTTCCTCAGGTCATCTTTTGTTGGGATTAATTGTTCCTCACTTGAAGCTTGGGTATCAGAAGTTGGCACTGCATTTGGATGCTCAGTCTTTATCTGTGGAGCTGGAAATTCAAAGAGGGGGTTCTCTAAGAGGTTGTTGGTATTTCTGGGAACTTCCTTTTTGATGCTTTTGTTCTCAGTGGAAGCACTTTGCAAAATAGTACCCGGGCAGAAGTTCTGCTTGTGCTTCAGATAGTCCTCAACTTTGTTGAAACTTATCTTGCACACAACACACTCATGATAATCCATTAGTCCTTTAGGGGAAACAGGAGTGTTACCAAACTGTGGCACACATTTTTTACTGAGATCTATGGGTGCATCAGTTTCTTCCTTTGAGATTATATTACACTTTGACACAAGAGCGGATTTCGTAACTGTCAGTGAAGCCTCTGGGTATTTGGGCACTAACCCCTGAATCATGTTGTATCTCTGATGATCTCTGAAGCTATCCAGTGTGTCCTTAGACATGTATGGTCCTCCTAAAGTGGGCATTCCAAGAAATGATGGCATACCCATTGGTGGCATTTGTTCTTGCTCAGAATTGGCCAACTCGTATGCCTTTCTTCTTTTACGTGGACGTACTGCCTTTTGATTAGCCGGTCCTTTATTGTTTGCCCGTTTGATTTGAGGGTCATGGCGAGTGGCACAGTAATACTGCTTGTGCACCATGTAGGTCTCATGTCGACTAAAGGTGATCTTGCAGGCCTCGCATGTTGTGTGGCTGGGGTCAGTTTCAGTGGGTGGCATTTTCTGGCTTTGTAAATCCAGCTGTGTACCATTTGGTCTCTCCTGTGCACCAGATGGAGTGGATGCTTTTTTAACTTGAACGGTCAGTTCATCTGTTACTTTTCCACCTGCAATGGGATTGCAAGGTTTAGGCTCTTGGCCTTTCACTTCAGAGGGATGGCCGGCATTTAGCATAACAGCCAAACTGGCTCCAATTTTAGGGCTTACAGTGCCTGCTGGTTTATCCAGAAGTCCAGAGAAGTCATGTGATTTGTGCGTGTTTTCCCAACGACTGTTGCAGTAGTGCTTCTTGTGCACCAAATAATTATCAAGGTTATTGAAGGTGATATTGCATTCGAAGCATGTTGCTCCTTTTGGTACAAGTGCACTGTACATGACCGGAGGGTAAGAGTTTCCACCATGACGCAACCTGCGATGGACTAACTCAGACATTTTGGCCAGTATCTCAGATGCCTGCGGCCCCATAGTAATATCCTGTGAGAACGGAACATGCGGTATAAAAGGGGGTAAGGGAAATGCAGGAGGAAGGTGGTGCTGAATGGGTGAAGAGGCTAAACGAGGACTAGAAGGTTCTGACTTGACTCTGGAATATGAAAGGTTGGCCTTGTTTCCTGAGTTTGCCTCGCCTTTATTGGATTTCTGGCTACTGTCCGTGTTTTGCAGATCTGAAATTTGAGTAACATCACATTGTGCTGTGCTTTCCTGGAGGTCATTGATGTTCGTCTTAGCTCTGACCTGTTGAGAGTTACTTGTGATGCTGTTAGGAGCGTTATCAGTTTTGTCTTCTTTAATGGGTTTATTGGTGACCGTACAATTATGTCCATGTAGCTCCTGGTGTTTGGCCATTTCTCTGGGGGTTTGGAATGAGAAGTGGCATTGACCGCATCTCAGGCCGGTTTGGGACAGATGGGAGAGGATGTGGTGCTGGAGCACCATGAGAGTTTCAGCAGAGTAGTCGCAAATGGTGCATTTCAAGTTACTTCCAGTGGACACCTCATCAGACTTGAGACCTTAAAATAAAAAAAGAATGGTATTAGTGAACATCATAATGCACAATTTAGGATAGCCAAATCAAATGCTGTACACATGCTCCTACACATTCATGGTTTTTAACCCTTTCCATCCCATTGACAGTTTTTAAGGCAATCTGTGTTTTAGGTATATTAGAGTAAGGGAAGGTCTAGTGCAATAGTCTCAAACTTGATTCCTGGAAGGCCGCAGCTCTGCAAACCAAGGCTACTAGAGGTTGGAGGTTGTTGGAGCTAAATTCTGCAATATAACCCATGTAGATAAGATCTTGTAAAAAGAGGCACCTTTTTCGAATAATTTAATAAGGGGCGCAAGTGTTGTGCATGCTGCTTATGCGCGCCTGCTGTGACTCGCATTTTTGCGCGCTGTGTGCTTGAGGGTAAAAAAGTCAACTCTAAGTGGAAAAATCTCATTACATCAGTCGCATTTTTTTGATTCTCCAATCAAATGAAAGCAGAGGCGGAGTTTCCATTGAGGTGCCTGCAGTGTTTGTGTTGTCAAGAAAACTACAGAGACTTTTGAAGATGGAAGATAGACTAGTGGTTGCTGTTTTGAGTTATCCAGTTCTGTATAATTCACAAATCTTGAATATCACAATATTATAAATTTTTTAAATTATATTAATATTAACAGAACTGCTCACGCACAATACGCAGCTGATTCAGTCATTGTCCAGTGACATAAAAATCGAGCCGTGCTTCTTTTTTTCTTGTCAACAAAAAAGGCAGTGTGGTGCACCTCACATTTTTAGAACAGAAAAGCGCGTTCGCTGTTTGGCCCCTTATACTACTTCCCTTCGGTTTACTCTCTTCCTAATCAGGGGTTGAAACAGCAAAATGATCTGCCCCCGTTGATGTGGATGAAGTTTTGTCACATATTGAAAATGTGTTAGAAAAAATATTTTTTTTCTCAGTTTTTTCTCATTATTTTTATTAAATCTATCAGAATTCAAGTAGTGATAAAAAATGAACACAGCAGAGGCTTGGTTCTATTTTTGATTTATGATATTGTCATATATTCCTAGGAATACATATTCTGAGGGCCATCAAATGAATGTGAAAATCATCAAAAATGATTTAACATTTGGATAACATTATAGTCAGAAAAAATTCCTAATATACTATACTATGTATAATAATGATATAATATAAAACATAATAAAATATAATTTAAATAAATATAAAACTAATTAAAAATTAAATATAAAATATAAAAATAAGACGTGCTGGTCTTCCAACACACCTAGATCGTTTTCTGGGCTTCTACTGTAGCTTGGCCAACAGGCAATTGCCCATAACCATAACTGAGAGGGCTGGAAGACAACTTTTTGTTTAGTAAGCAGGTCTTCATACCTACACTTTTTTTTCTCTGTCTCATATAATTGTGGTCAAATGATTATTTTCAAAAGAATGTCTTTTAGGTTTACTCACAGTTATGTGTGGATAAGTGCATTTCCAGGGCATGCGAGCCTGCAAAGCTCATATTGCACTGGGGGTATGTGCAATTGCGGAGCATTTGATGGCTGATATTGGCGTTTTTCTCTGCCACCATCTCAGGGTCCCTTTGTCGCCCACTGCAGTAATACATAAGATGAGCCTGTAGGTTTCTTTCACTCCGAAACCAGATGCCACATGCCTTACAGGGGAAGATGTCTTCTACAAAGACAGAAATGGACACAAGCAGATCCATATTGAGTTATCTAAAGCTATTGTAGCATTTTAAATTACAGTGGGGTCTGAGACCACCAGAGAAATGCTTTCAGTTGACATTTTTGTGAGACAATTCAAAATGGTGCAGAATCCTAAATATTTATAATTATGTGTTATATAGTCATTAAAATAAATAGATAAATAAATAAATGATTTGTTCATGTCTAGCAAAAAACTATAATAAATGATACAAAAGTAAAAAAATAAAACTATAATTGATCAATCAGTGCTAAGATATATTTGTATTCTGATTGTACAGTAATATACACTAGAATATAATAACAAATTATTATTAATTTATAGATTACTATATATTTTTTTATTTTTAAATTAGTTTTTATTTTGATATGATTTTTTAAATGGCTGTAAATGTTAGTTTTATTTTGGTTTAAACAGCAAAAATCAGTCCGAGCCACTTAAAATGTTGATAAAATATTGAAAGCCTTTATTGGTATGGCTATTCCTTAAAACTGTGCCTACACATTTTAGCAAACAACTACCTTCATCAGGGCAACCTAATGCCGGGTCAATACGGCTTTTTAATATTTTTTTCCACATATTTTGAGTGCCTTGGACTGATTTTTGCTGTTTATTCTGATGAATCCTGTACCCAAAAAGAACCACCATATTACAGTTTTTCTCAGTCGCTTTAGTGCATTTCTCACAACACTATTTACATTTGCACAACAGGTCATGCATTTCTCAAAACAATTAGTCATTTGTGCACATCCTAGTAGCAGTTTCTCATTCCTTTCAACAAATAGCAAATGCTTTTGGACATGCATCAATTGCTTTCATTCAACTCTCTGCTATTTATAACATTATCAATTGCTTATGTCATGTCAGTCAAAATGAACTAAACTTGTAAATGCTGAATAGTCATTCTATATAAAATTAACAGTCCTCATTTCATTACTTGAGTCATTACATACAAAAATGTTGAACTTGATGTCAAAATCGGCCAAGCAAACTTTATTAAAAAAAAGGTAAAACTTTATTTTCCTGAAAATGCCTTTAAAATTGAACAATTTGATGAATGATTTACAGACCTGTGTATGTTGCAGGTTCAGTTCCGATATGTACTGCAATTTTGTTTACAGTTGTGCACAGTTCAACCCAAAGGGAGTTTATGTTTGTTGTAAATACTGTAAGGGTGTGTTTATTCTTTTGCACAATGCTGTGAATAAATTAGGATTGTAAAGAGCAAATGCAGAGTAAAAATGTGAAACATACATATTCAGTGTCTTGTACTCAGATACCTCACTAAATGCAGTGATGTCCAACTTTAATGTAGTTTTCAAATGGCTGTGCAAATATATAGTGCTGTCTTGAGCATTTTCAGGAAGTGACACCAACATCTTACTTTTTTGCATTGATGAAAACATGACAAAGCCATTTGACTCTCTTGTTCATAAACAATGGTGCCAGGACTTTTCATTTTGATGATACTGACACTTTGATTGGCATGAATACTTGCTTTTAAATATTGAACTATCCATTTTGAGCATGTGACGCGCTTTTGCAGGTTATCAGCTAGGTTTTGCAGTTTGTACTAATTGTTTTGAGAAATGCATTAACTGTTGTGCAGAAATACACTGGTGTTGTGAGAAACGCACCAAAGCGACTGAGAAAACTGTATTTCAGCAACCCCTGAGCACTTTTGTTTGATATATTGTAGTTTGTTTGAGTAATAGTTTGGTTAGTTTTAGTTTCGTTTTATTTTGTGAACACATTTCTATTTAGCTTTTATATATTTAGTTTTAGTATTAATAGTTCATCAGAGTTAGCATAACACATCCAGTGTCAACTAAAGCTAAGTTTAGTGTTAGCACAGCTTACAAACCTCTTAGTCATAAAATAATTGTTAGAACAGACCCCACACAAGTGCAACTTAAATGAAAAACAACAAAAATGATGAAGAATGAAGTCAAGCTTCTTCATATTAACAATCATATTTGTATTTTAACACACCTAGTTTACATGTTCTGACAGATGAAGGAATGTAAGAACACATGTTTTGTTTATATAGAAAATGTGTTTCTGTACATAATCATGCTCTTAACTAATTTTTTTTAGCTGTAAAAGTGCATCTAAGGGTGCTCCTATATCCTTTTATTTTAGTTAGTTGACTGTTGTTAGTTTCACAGAATTTTAGATTTTCATTTATTGTGAATATTTAATTTAATTTCATGTAGCAAAGCTGTCTTTTGATCAATGCTTTAGTCTTAGTTTTCGCTTACTAAAATAACCTTGCTAATAGAACGAAGAATGAACATAACCCAGCCCTATACACACATGCACTATGCAAATGTGCGGCATGTTGTTCGCATCAAATTCTTGTTAGCTGTAATCGAAGAATGGAAGAGGGTAAATATCTAATTTCAGCAAAACTGAAGGTCAGTCTCAACCCTTGGTAATTCTCTTATCCATGGCAAACACGCACATCGGAGCCGTGATGACTCTTTGACATGGATTTCCATTTTTAACCAAGCACATTAATCAGTCTATCCACTGTGGCACTGATAATGCGGCACTCACTGTTGATGATAGCGCCGGGCAGTATGGATGCCATGGCCGCTTGCTGAGGAAGGAGTTGGATGGCATCCAGCTGTCGGGACGGGTACATCCCTTGACCATAGGGATTTGGGCCTGGGGTTTGAAGATGAGAGTGCAAATCCACCACACAGGCTGCGAGCTCATCTCCTTCCATGATGTTTTTGGTTGTGGAACACCACACATGTCCTCCTGCAAGAAAAAGAACAAAGCTTAGGGTTTAATAGAGCATTTTAATTACTTTTTAAGCATGAAGATGCTAAATACGTATAAAAGCTTATAAAAATGTAAAAAAAAAAAGTGTCTACTATAATGTTTAAATAACTTTATGAATGAAATTATGTTCCATTGTCATTAATGTTAAAAATATACTTAAAAATAATAATAATTAAAAGAAAGAAAGCATTTTCTGACCTGCACTTATTACAACATAATATTGAAGGCAAAATGATTAGCTCTCCTGTGAAATTTTCAAATATTTCAAGTATTCTTTAACAGAGCAAGGAAACTTTTACAGTATTTTGTATTCTTCTGGCGAAAGTCTTATTTCTTTTAGTTTGGCTCCAATAAAAGTATTTAAAAATAGTTAAATGTTAATTTTTTGTATTGCAAAAACATCACTTCAGTACAAATAGTTACATATCATTATCTTTGTTGTCGTTTTTTTTTTTTTTTTACAAAAAAGAAGAAAATAATATAATAATAATAATAATAATAATAATAAAAATAAAGGAAAAACAACAAAAAATAATAATGATAATAAAAATAAGGGGGGAAAATTGTAATATTTAAAGCTAAATATTAATAATCCCTTTAAGAATTTCTCATTTCACATTGGAAAAAACCCCTTGTTGTCCAATGATTAACCCAAGTTGCCAAGTTAACCTAAGTAGTCTTATTAGTCTTTATATTGCACTTTAAGCTGAACATTACTGTCTTGAACAATAACTAATAAAATAGTATGTACAGTTTCAGTCAGAATTTTCTTTTTTAAATATTTCCCGAATTATGCTTAACAGAGAAAGAATATTTTCACAGTATGTCTGATGATTTTTTTTTCTTATTTGTTTTATTTCGGCTAAAATATAAGCAGATTTTAATAAAAAAAAACATTCTAAGGTCAAAATGATTAGCCCCTTTAAGCTATATATTTTTTAATTGTCTATAGAACAAACCATTGTTGTACAATTACCCTAACCTGCCTAGTTAACCTTATTAACCTAGTTAAGCCTTTAAATGTCACTTTAAGCTGTATAGAAGTGTCTTAAAAAATCTAGTTAAATATTATGTGCTGTCATCATGGAAATATTTGAAAATGAATTTAAATTTCAAAGAAGGGCTAATAATTCTGCCTTCATCTCTATACATTCAGACCTGCATTTAAGTCATATAAAAGAATATGTTATCATACTACATTTATTGCATCTTAAATAATTAGACATCTCTTACTTATAAATAGGTAAGACCTACAGTCTTTTGAAGAATATTGGGCAAATTTAACGATTTAAAATGAGCCTGATATGTGTTATGCCCAGTGGTGTAAAGTAACAAATTACAAATACTCTAACTACTGTAATTGAGTATTTTTTTTTTTTTAGGAATTTACCAAATGTGTACTTTTACTTTCCCTTGAGTACATTTTTAGTGCAGTATTGGTACATTTACTCCACTACTTTCCTTCAACCTGCAGTCACTACTTTCTTTTTTCTTGCCTGTAGGGATTAGAAAAATCAGTCCTGCGATTCCTGTTTAATCTAATCACACATAGAAGTAAAGAGGTAAATCTCACCATAGCGGTCAAAATGGGACAAATAAGCTCAAATATGAACCTTTGTCAGTAAGGGGTGAGTGTTTTAAACCACCTGGACCCCCCGTCACCCCCTGACCCAACCCCCCTGGCTACAGGCCTGTATATATTGTCTAGAAATTTTGCATATTTTTTCTTTCTTCCTGTCACAAAAGCCTCCCAGCAACCTTTTTTTCTTTTATTCCATTGGAAATGATTTTCCTGGCAGTGTGGCATCAATGCAAGATAATAGTTTTCAGAACCGGAATTAGTAAACTTTACCTTCTATCTAATTTATGCTAAATTACATAGTGGTAAATACCAACGCACTACTTTTCACACCCCCACACAGCTAAGTATTTTTTTTCAGCCACATAAATGCATGCCACTGCTTTGAAGTGGCAACAAACAAGTGAGGGACAAGCATATTGTGGAAGACGCTGTATATTTTTCCCTGCCTCTAAAGAGAATGGGCATTTCGGATAAAAGTACAGCATTATCAAACTGAAGGGCTGCGGATGAAACGTTCGACTGGAGTCCGCAGAACAAACTCATTAGCTGGTTAAAAAGGAGAACGAGTGCTTTGTGACTGAGATAACATTTATCTGTCCAAATGACGGACTTTCTGTCTGCGCGTCATCTTCCATTGAGGGGATTAAAGTTTTAAATATGACTATTTACAAAAGTCTGGAACGCGAGATAACAAGAAGAGACATGATATGCCGGCACTAAATGCTAGAATTAGGACGTGGACTAATTGGGGAGTTGGACAATAAGAGTGAAGTACACTCAATGCTACCTTTCAGAGACGCGTGAGCACTTTGTGACAGCATGCCCAAGGAGAAGAAAGTGACCCGTGATGGGCTGTCGTGTTTCCCGCAGAGAAATGCTAATTGCATGTTCTTTTGGTATTATAGGTCTGATATGAGGAACGGATGTTTTTTTTTAAATGTCTATTTGTGACCATGGACCACAAAACCAATCATGAGTGTCAATTTTTGAAAATTTAGATTTTTACGCCGTATGAAAGCTTTATAAATAAGCTTTTCACAGATGATTTGTTAGGAAAGGATCAAATTTGGCCAAGATGAAACTATTGACAAGACACCTAAATACATTAAATTATCCAAATAGCAATACACATTACCAACAAAAAAATGTTTCAAATATTTACAGTATGTTACAAAAAAAAAAAAAAACATGATCTTTACCTAATATTTTATTAATGTTTTAGAACAAAATAAAATATTTTAAAACATAGACTACAATGTATTTTGGCAATTTCAATACCCTGTAATTTGTTTTGTCCTTCAGGGTCACATTTTGTAATCAATTATGTTTTATTGCAATATGTAATAATGTAATAAAGTAAACATTTTATAGTTATTAATAAATGATTACAAATGAAAAGGGATTTTTAAATATAAAATCTATAAAAGTGTATTGTTTTTATTACATTAGAACGTGCTCATTTTTATTTAATTTCATTTCATTGGTTTTAATTAAACATTATACAAAATTTTTACATTTATTATTAACAATATTTCTTCATTTATTATTCTGTTTAAATAAGCTACCAAAAATATTTAATTATTAGTTATTATGGTATTAACAAATATAATTTGATTACATCGAGAATCACAATGGAAGCCCCAAAATATAAAGCAATTGTAATTTTAAATTATGTAAAATTATGTAAAATTATATATATATATATATATATATATATATATATATATATATATATATATATATATATATATATATATATATAAAATAATAAAATAATAAAATAAAATAAAATACAATTATAATATTAATAGCAAAATTAATTTAATTTAAATTGAGAATGACAATGGAGCCCCAAAAATATGAAGAAATTGTAATTTTAAATCTCTTTATATTAAATCATATATTCATTCATTCATTTTCTTTTTTGGCTTAGTGCCTTTATTAATCCTGGGTTGCCACAGCGGAATGAACCGCCAACTTATCCAGCACATGTTTTACGCAGCAATACATGCCTTCCAGCTGCAACCCATCTCTGGGTAACATTCACAAACACTCACTTACACATACAATACGGACAATTTAGCTTACCCAATTCACCAGTACGTCTTTGGACAATAGAGGAAAACAAGATCACCTGGAACAAACCCACACGAATGCAGGGAGAACATGCAAACTCCACACAGAAACGCCAACTCACCCAGCCGAGGCTTGAACCAGCGACCTTCTTGCTGTGAGGCAACAGCACTACCTACTGCGCCACTGCGTTGCCTAAATTATTTATATATATATATATATATATATATATATATATATATATTATAAATTAAATATTTAATGTAATAAATATTTTAATATATTAAATCTCTATATATTTCGGCATTCAGCTACTTAATCACATTTTCTTGAAATAAAATCAAGAATGATGGCTTACACTTTGAAATATCTTAGTAAGTTGAGGCCAGAGTAAATAAGCTGTTTTATATTTACATAAATATATCTTATGCTGCATGGGTGTTTACCTCAACAGTTGATTACTGTAATTCTCTCTATGTTGGTTTACCAGTCAAATCTATCAAACGTCTACAATATATTTTAAATTGAGCTGCACATGTTCTCACTCACAGCCTCATGACAGCATATCAATTGCATTCTCTATAATTTGCACTGGCTTTCACTTCAGTCTTACATTGAGTTTAAAATACGTACTATATGGATATGCATGATTTGGGTCCTTCTTATCCTTGTGATTTAGTTATCTCTTGCATGTCCTAAGGTTTTTGACTTGATATGTGTTGTTGTTTATATTTTAATAAATATTGCATTTTTACTGTCCCATTTTAACTTGTTGTAAATCGCTTTGGGTGTGAGAAAAGTGGCACATAAATAAATGTAATAAATGTATTATTATTGATAATTCACATGTCCTGACATTTTACTTTAACAAAAGTTCTTAAAAAGTAAAAATTCAAGTTTACTTGCATTTAATACACCTTCTACTTTATGTCTAGAAATCATTGAAGTATTTATTTTAACTTCAGTTTATTTTGATGCAGATGGCAAAATTTCTTTAAAAACCCTAACATACCATTAGGAATTTGAAACTATAGTTAATTTAGTTAACTTGTTTGATTGATGACAATGATAAAATAATAAAAAATAACTCACTTGCCAGCAAGCACAATAAACAAAAATACAACAAAATGGCAAGTAACATGCTGAATTAAATGTAAAATTTTAAGTAAAGATTTCCAGGAATAGTATTTTGTCAAATGTACTCCAATGTTTTTTCCTTTTCTTTTGTGTGTGTGTGTGTGTGTGTGTGTGTGTGTGTGTGTGTGTGTGTGTGTGTGTGTGTGTGTGTGTGTGTGTGTAAATAATACATGTTTAACTAGCA